CCACCATGCCCAGCTAATTTTTTGTAGTTTTAGTAGAGACGGGGTTTCACCATGTTGACCAGGATGGTTTCGATCTCTTGACCTCGTGATCCACCCTCCTCGGCCTCCCAAAGTGCTGGGATTACAGGCTTGAGCCACCGCGCCCGGCCTGTAATTTCCATTTTATAGATGAATAAATATTAGGCACTTAGAGCTTGAGTAACATCTATCTCTAAGCTATCGTTGATAGACAGTGATAAAATCAGGATTCAAACCCAGCAGTATTAATTCTAAAATTGATGCTGTGAATGTAATAAAATGTTCATTTCCCAGCAGTATTATTTCTAAAATTGATGCTCTGAATGTAATAAAATGTTCAACTTCTGAATGGCATATTATTTTACTGAATATTGGATATTTTTTCCTCAAAGGTATACTAATGTGATAAAAAGGTGCATGATGATGTTGCTCTCAGTTTGGTGGTTTTGATGTCTTGAAAAACAGTTTTGTTTCAGCTGATTTTGATAGAAAATGTTGCTAATTCTCAGGTAGACAGTTTAAAGTTATATAGAAAGTGTGAAGATGAAAGTAAAAATAATTTGTAATTGCAGTCATCAGCATTTGGAATATTATCATTAGTAAATATTTGTTAAACCCTTACTATATATTTTACATATATATTTCTTATAAACTTTCTAATCTCAATTTTTCTTCTTCCAACTCTTTTTTCAATAGTTTTGTTCTCTTTAGTTCTTGACTAGGTTTTTATACACATATAGAACTTATGGTATTATCACTACTTAATAGTATTGAATACTAACTGTGTATTAAACATAATACTGGATGCTCTTATCAGGGGTTCCCAACCCGCTGGCCACTGACCTGTACTTAGGCCGCACAGCAGAAGGTGAGCAGAGAGTGAGGAGCGAAGCTGAGCTCTGCCTCCTGTCAGATCTGCAGCAGCATTAGATTCTCATAGGAGCACGAACCCTACCATGAACTGTGCATGCCAGGGATCTTGGTTGCGCACTCCTTATGAGAATCTAATGATAAAATGTAATGTGCTTGAATTATTTGAAACCATGCCCCCCACCTCCACCTCATGCCTTACCCCCATAGGTTCGTGGAAAAATTGTCTTCATTGTGAAACCAGTCCCTAGTGCCAAAAAGGTTGAGTATCGCTGCTCTATATGTATTCTCTTGTTTAATTCTCACAATAATACTATGAGGAAGTTAGCAATATTTGATTAAGTAATATGCTTAAGATTATACAATTAGTAAGAGGTGAAAGTGAATATAGGACTTAGGGACTTTTGATCTCTTTCAGGACTCCTGAAATTTTCATCTTAATTAAAAGGCCATATTGCCATCTTAGATCTCAGTTCTCTAGTAACTGTTGTTATTCCTTCAATTAAGAAGCCATCAACTTTTTCCCCCCTCTGGAAACCTTTGAATGTGGTCAATTTGAGGACCAAATGTTGCTATTTTATCCTCTGTCCATATTTTTTCATTGAGCAGGTTCTGAGTGTATTGTTCATAACTTTATATTTCCTAGACTGATCTTTAAAAATATAGTATTAACCACATGTGGTAGTACATGCCTATAGTCCTACCTACTTGGGAGGCTGAGGTGTGGAGGGCCGCTTGAGCCCAGGAGGTCAAGGTTACTGTGAGCTATGATTGTGTCAATACACTCCAGCCTGGGTGACAGAGTGAGACCCTGTCTCTTCAAACAAACAAACCAAAAGAGTGGAATAGATGATGTTACTCTTTTTCTTTTAGAATTCTCTAATAGCATTTTTTAGTGCATAAATGGAATCTGAACTCCTCACAGTGTCTCTGGATGATTTGGCTCTTGCAGGACCTTCTAAACACTTATTATATCACAATATTCTGCAAACAGAATTAGAATATCTCTTTTATTATATGATTACTGAAAGTCATAAATAATTTTAAGTGTTTTGTAATTATAAAAGTTATATAATCATTTTATAGGAGTTTTAGAAAAAAGAAAACACTGTATTTTACATCCTAGAGTTTAGCCTCTTTGGGAACAAAAGGAAACTTTGATGAAAAAGGAAATGATCTAAGATTGAGGACATAAAGAAATTACTACCTTGAGATTAAGAGCTAAGGTTTTTAATCACCCTAATCTGAGTTCAGATTTGCTTTTTTACATACACTATATGTCCTTAAGTAAGTTGCTTCTTTAAGCCTTTTCTTATTCAAGTTTGCTAATAAATACATATGAAATACATAGCACAGTGCCTGGCTTACAGTAAGTATTCAATAAATGATAGCTACAATGGAAAGCAAATCTATTTCAGGAGTTAGGATTTAAATATAAAAGATTTATGGGATATTTTTTATTTGAGGCCAACAATTAGGCATATACTGTAAACTGTGTGGTAGTTAGTAAACATTGAACATATTAATGGGCTAAGAAAGGATTTAGATTGATATAACTAATTTGTAACGGACTAAGAAGTTAAGGACAAGTAAATTATTTGCCTGCATTTTGAATATTAATATCATTAGCAGCAGTTATTACAACAGATGGCAGAATTGTGTGGCAGAAGAACATGGGTGTGTCTAGAGAAAAGGGGTGGTTTATAAAAAAGACAAATGTGCCTTTATTTTTTCCAATAAGACTAAGAAGTTATTACACATGGACCTGCAAAATACGAGAGATCACAAATATGTCAAAGAATTGAATCAAGTCGATATATTCAAATCGAGCCTATCTTCTTTTTTCTGAAATTGATTATAACCAAAACTTTTGACATTAAGTATTAACTGTTGGTCTAATTTGTACCATTAGTTTCCATTTATAGTCATACCTCATTTTATTGTGCTTTGCTATTGCAGATTGCTGATTGCTGGATTTTTTTTTTTACAAATTTATGGTTTTTGGCAACCCTGTGTTGAGCTAGTCTATCTGTGCCATTTATCCAACAGCATGTGCTTACTTTATGTCTTTATGTCATATTTTGGTAATTGTTACAATATTTCAGCCTTTTTATTATTATTATTTATCTGTTATGGTGATCTGTGATCAGTAATCTTTGGGGTTACTATTGTAATTGTTTCAGGGCACCACAAACCACACCCATTTAAAACAGTGAACTTAATCGATAAATGTTGTCTGTGTTCTGACTGTGCTACCAACTGGCCATTCCCATCTCTCCCACTCTCCTTGGGAAGGGCCATTCCCCTGTTTCTCTATTCCCTGAGATACAACAGTATTGAAATTAGGCCAATTATAGCCCTACAGTGGCCTGAAGGGTTTAAGAGAAAGGAAAAGTTGCATGTCTCTCACTTTAAATAAAAAGCTAGAAATGATTAAGCTTAGTGAAGATGATATATCAAAAGCCTATACAGGCCGAAAGCTGGACTTCTTGTGCCAAACATTTAGCCAAGTTGTGAATGCAAATACAGATCATTAAAGGAAATTAAAAGTAAACGATTGCTCCAGTGAGCAAATGACTGATAAGACAGTGAAACAGCTTTATACTGTTGAGTTGAAGAAAATTTTAGTAGTCTTTATAAAAGATCAAACTATCCACACTATTTGCTTAGGCCAGAGCCTATTTCAGATAATGTCCTAACTCTCTTCAATTCTGGGAAGGCTAAGAGAAGTGAGGAGGCTGCAGAAGAAAAGTGAAGCTAGCAGAGGTTCTTTCATAGGTTTAAGGAAAGAAGCTGTCTCCATATCAGAAAAGTACAAGGTGAAGCAGTAAGTTCCAAAGATTTAGCTAATAAATTGATGAAGGTGGCTACACTAAGCAACAGATTTTCAATGTGGACAAAACATCTTTTATTGGAAGATGATACCATCCTATAATGTTCCTATCTACCAAGAAGTAAATGCCTGGCTTCGGTGTTACAAAGGATAGGCTGATTCTCTTGTTAGGGAGTCATACAGCTGGTGACTTTAAGTTGAAGCCAATGCACATTTACCATTCTGAAGATCCTAGGACCTTTAAGAATTATACTATATCTACTCTGCTTATGTTTTGTAAAGGGAATGACAAAGCCTAGATAATAGTTCATCTGTTTACAGCACGGCTTATTGGATATTTTAAGCCCACTATTGAGACCTGCTGTTAGAAGAAAAGAGTCTTTTCATATTACTACTTATCATTGATAATAAACATGGTCACCCAAGAGCTCTGATCGGATATACAAGTTGATTCATGTTATTTTCTTGCTTGTTAGTGAAATATTCATTCTGCATTACATGGATTAAGGGTCATTTTGACTTATTTAACAAATACTTTGTCTTATTTTTAAGACATACATTTTATTAGGCTGTAGCTGCTATAGATAGTAAATCCTCTGATGGATCTGGGCAAAGTAAATGGAAAGTCTTCTGGAATTGATTCAGTGTTGTAGATACCATGAAGAACACACATGATTCATGGGAAGAGATCAACGTATCAATGTCAATAGGAGTTTGGAATAAGTTGGTTCTAACTCTCATGGATGACTTTGAAGAGTTCATGATTTCCATGGAGGAAGTCACTGCTGATGTGGTGGAAGTAGCAAGAGAATCAGAATGAGAAGCAGAGCTTAAACATGTGATGGAATTGCTACAATCTCATGATAATACTCTAATGAATGAAGAGTTGCTTCCTATGGATAAGCAAAGAAAGTGGTTCCCTGCAATGGAATCTACGCATGATGAAGATACTGTGAACATTGCTGAAATGACAACAAAGAATTTAGAATATTACCTAAATGTATTTGATAAAGCAATGGTAGCGTTTGAGAGGATTGATTCCAGTTCCAAAATAAATTATCCTGTGAGTAAAATGCTGTCAAAAGGCACTGCTTGCTACAGAAAAATCTTTTGTGGCAAAAGTTTGTTGTCTTATTTTAAGAGATTGCTACAGTTACCACCCTCACCCATCAGTCAACATCTATGAACATGGAGACAAAACCTTCCACTAGCAAAAAGATTATTGTTCACTAAAGGGTCAGATAATTGTTAGCATTTTTAAGCAATAAAGTATTTTTAAATGAAAGTGTGTGTAGTATTTTTTTTTAGATATAATGCTATTGTACAATTAATAGATTAAGTATAGTGTAAATGTAACTTTTATATACACTTGGAAACCAAAATATTTGTGTGACTCGCTTTATTGTTATAACCATTTTATTGCAGTGGTCCGGAACTAAACCTGTGATATCTCCACGATGTGCCTGTATTTATCTGTTAGGGAACAGTGTTCTTCATGTTCTTATTTTAGATTTACCTTCTGCTTGAGCCTTTGGTTTTCAGAGTTTGATAGATAAATTCGAGTTTTTTCTTTACATTAAGTTCTAACTTACTTGGGAAAGTTAGTAGAATAGTGATGTGTGTAGGTTCTCCTTAAAGATAGGAAATTTGACTAGATGAAGAGGTCAGTGAGATGACCTGTAGAGCTGGAATGAAACCTGGGCCCCTTTAAGAGGTCGGTCTAGTTTGTCTTTTTCTTTCTCACAGATACTTTATTTTTAATCCTGATACATAACTGTACGATTTAAAATACTCTCAGCTGGGCACGGTGGCTCACACCTGTAATCCCAGCACTTTGGGAGGCTGAGTTGGGTGGATCACCTGAGGTAGGGAGTTCGAAACCAGCCTGGCCAACATGGTAAAACCCCATCTCTTAAAAAAAAAAAATACTCTCAAGAATTCCTTTGTGGTCAGGTGTTGGAGCTCACACCTATAATCCCAGTGCTTTGGGAGGCCAAGGCAGGAGGCCTGAGTTACATAACAAGACTGTCTTTTCAAGAAATTAAAAAACAAAAATTAGCTGGGAGTGTGGTGTATTCCTGTAGTCCTAGGAGGCTGAAGTGAGAAGATCTCTTGGGCACGGGAGTTCAAGGATATAGTGAGCTATGATTGTGCCACTGTACTCCAGCCTGGGAAACAGACTGAGACCCTGTCTCGAAAAAGAAAAGAAGGAATTCCTTTGGCATCCTTCTCTGTATCTGATAGTTTCAGTTTTTTCTCCTGCATGTTTATTTTTTGGCACTTTTAATGTGATATTTTACGTATTTTAGTTTTTATGATTAGAGGTAAAGATAACCAGTTATCCTCATATAGTTGTTGTTTGTTTGTTTTATTTTTTGAGACAGAGTCTCAGTCTGTGGCCCAAGCTGTAGTGCAGTGGTGGGATCTTGGCTCACTGCAACCTGCGCCTCCTGGGTTCAAGTGATTCTCCTACCTCAGGCTTCTGAGTAGCTGGGATTACAGGCATGCACCACCATGCCTGGCTAATTTTTGTATTTTTAGTACAGATGGGGTTTCACCATGTTGGCCAGGCCAGTCTCAAACTCCTAACCTCAAGTGATCCGCCTGCTTTGGCCTTCCAAAGTGCTGGGATTATAGGTATGAGCCACCAAATCTGAACAGTTTTCATATAGTTATAATTACTATTTGTTTAATTAATATTATATATTAGGACATATGTCTTTAGATTGAATAATTTTAAAAATGAGCTAGCTTCTCTATTTTCATGTTTTGCAAGTATAAAACCTCTCATTTAAATACATTTTTCTAAGAGTCTTTGCCTAATGTTTGGTTAAGTAAGTTTATTAGTTATGTAAATAATGTATATTTTGTGTATATTGAAAGATTTGTTTTGAATTTAAACATTGTGATGTTAAATGTAGTTATTTTATGGTTACATAATCAACTCCTTTAATTTTTTTTCCAGGAGGATAGCAAACAAGCTCAATTCTTAGCCTTGGCAGTTGTATACTTTATCTCTGTTCTTATGGTCTCCAAGTACAGAGACATTTTGGAACCCCAAAATGAAAGGCATAGCCAGTCACTTACGGAAACTGGCAGTGAAAATGGGAATGTATCACTCTCTGGTAAGTTTGCATTTTCTGTTCCTTTGTACCAAAGTTCAAATAAATGTTACTTACTCCTGATGGTTAAAATATTGATACTGGAATTTAAATTTATGTATATATTAAGTGAGAGCATACACATATTTTTATTAACTAAATGTTTTGGCTTGAATATAATTAATTGCAACTGGGATTTTTTGTTCTTTAAATGAACCATCTAATTAAAGATAAGTCAGAAAATGGTATCTTATACAAAAAAAGAGTTGAAAAATTTTATTGATTTCATTTGGTGTGAAGAATCACTAACTCATATTCTTTTATGAGAGACAGACTTGTTAACAAGTAACTGTAATAGTTGGAGTTTTGAAAGTAGTTGCCAATTATAGAAATATGGTTAGTTAAGTAACTGTTGCAGTTATAGAAGTACCTGCCACCCAAAGGAGGCAATTTATTATTCATTCAATATTCATTCAGCATCCACTGGGTACTTGGGTATATATTTATGACCAAAACAAAACAAAAAATCTCTATCCTTGTTGAGCTTATATTCTAATGGGAGGAGACAGAAAATATGTATATGTTATAGGTAAATTGTATAGTATTTTAGAAGGTGGTAAAAGTGCTAAAAAAAATAATAAACAGGATAAAAATATCAGGAATGACTAGCAGTTATTGGGTATGGAGTTTTCTCTGAGGGAAATGAGAACTCGTTGGAGGATTTTGAGTACAGGAGTTAGAATTTATGTTTTTAAAAGTAACTCTGGTCGGGGCATGGTGGCTCACGCCTATAATCCCAGCACTTTGGGAAGCCGAGGTGGCCAGATCACTTGAGGTCAGAAGTTGGAGACCAGCCTGGCCAACATGGTAAAGCCCCATCTCTACTAAAAATACAAAAATTAGTTGGGCGTGGTTGTGGGTGCCTGTAATCCCATTTCTTAGGAGTCTGAGGCAGGAGAATTGCTTGAACCCGGAGGCAGAGGTTGTAGTGAGCAGAAATTCTGCCACTGTACTCCAGCCTGGGTGACAGAGTTAGACTCTGTTTCCTCCCCCCGCAAAAAAAGTAACTCTGTATTCTGTGTTGAGGATATACCATTGAGAGCAAGATAATCAGTGTTTTTCGCTGGGTATTGCTGTTTAACACCTTACCCTGCAGCTTGGTGACCCTAAGGCCACAACCATTTTAATCTTTCTTTCATGATTTCTTGAATTAGATTTGGATACGGCCTAGTGGGCATGGTTTATCCCTGTTTCAGATGATGTTTGCTGGGTCTGGAAAATCTGAGATGACTTTTCTAATAGCATACATATAGTGCCTCAGCTGGGATGGCTTCAAGAGCTGGGAGTGGCTAACTGAAACAGCTGAGCTGGGGTTATATATCCGCAGCCTTGAACCTCGTTCTCAACTGCTGGTTTCCTTCATTAGTTTGGAGAGCATCTTTGTCTCCATATGGTCTCTCTACATGTTCTTTCCAGCAAGGTAGATCAGAAATAAGCCACATTTCTTAAAGAGCTGTTCAGAAATTCTGGGAATGCAAGGACTGCCAGACTTTTTTTTTAGATGGAGTCTTGCTCTGTCGCCAGGCTGAAGTGTAGTGGTGCAATCTTGGCTCACTGCAACCTCTGCTTCCCAGGTTCAAGCGATTTTTTTGCCTCAGCCTCCCAAGTAGCTGGGATGACATGCCCACACCCAGCTAATTTTTACATTTTTAGTAGAGATGGGGTTTCACCAAGTTGGCCAGGATCATTTTGATCTCTTGACCTCATGATCCACCCGCCTCAGCTTCCCAAAGTTCTGGGTTATAGGTGTGAACCACCATGCCTGGCCTTTT